TCTAATTAAAATGTATACTTGCATATGGACATGCTGTGCCACTCCTTTCCAATTTAATTGTAAGGATTATTACAATAATATGAATACTCCCCCACCAGCAGCTTAAACAGTTTTCTCTTCACAGCTATTGCTGCTGCTTTCCTCTGTGTTTGTGATATGAACATCTGTTTCTTCATTAGCACTATCCTCTTCTCTTCTAGAAAAGCACGTCTGATTCAGACAAACACAAACAGGACACTTTTGCCTGACCCATTGAGAAGCACATGCTAATGACCAGTTCAAGACTGAAATGCACCCTGCCAGCAGCTTTCACATATGAAGCTAGCTTTCCTGATGACTGCTCAGAGGTCAAAATCCTGACCCTCTGAAAGGAAATGGTAGTCTTGTTACTTAGTTCAATAGGACTCGATTTCTTCCTGGCTTTGTTTCATGGGTATTCCTTCTCCCAGTTCCTTCCTTATTTGTACCTCATTTTTGAAGTGTGCTGGTGGGTAAATTACAGAGAAGCCACCCAAGCCTCAATAAGGCAATAAGGGGAAGCTGCAGCAGTCACCACCTCTGTCCTCTCCAGAAGGTTAAGAGACTGTCCCCATCCTCAATTCATCAACATTCAACTTCATGGTGGGATACTCTGACTCCCATTGTCTGATTAAACACTAGGTTATAAGTTTCCGTGTATTAACTATGAGTCTACAGCTTGCTCTCTTCTGCAATAATGATATCAGTAATAAAACAAACTGTTTAAAGCCTCGTATTTCTTGCAGTATTAGTTACGTAGTACAAAGATGTGTCAGGGGAAAAACTATCAAAACCCAGTACAACAAACAATAACTAGCCTACCAGGTATGGATCTATTTCTGCACACTACCATGGCGGGACTTAGCTCCCTCTCATGTGCCTACCCAGAGACATATGTTCTCCCTCTCTATCAGCCTGTCACTGCTCAACGAAACAGCTTCCTGGCCTACTTCTGGCAACCTTCACAAGCACCAGACCATTTTTAACTGTCTGTAGCCCCCGATTAAGGACCTTAAGTTTCCATGAAATAAGGTTTGCCAACACCTAGGCACAACCCCTTGAAATAAACTGTAATGCCCTACTCGCCTTTAAATACCTGCTGGGTTGCTGCTGTCTAGGAAACCATTATGTATACAGTGGGATTTGCGCACAACTACTGGAGATATCAAAAGCTCCTGTCTTTCCTGGACCATGTTCAGAGGAATGCATGATGGTACTAATGCATCATGGCATCTTCCAGACATATTCTGTGCTCAAAGTTAGAAATCCTCTCTTTTGCAGACTCTGAAAAACCTTGTTACACAGAATGAGACAATCTCTTTTGAAATGGCTGGAAACATCTTGCTGATACATATGCACCACCTACGTGTTTCATTTGGGTGTGAAAAGATGGCCCACCTACGCCTTACACTCGCCTCCTTCACCATTTCACTTTGCAGTCCTCATCAGTAAGTTGCCATCAACATCTCCCCATCCCTTTTATTTATTAAGAGGACTCTACAGTCTTTCACTGCAGATCAGGCAACAAGCTCTTGAGATGCAATTTGCAGCTCTCCTCCTTTTAGATTTTTATTATTTTGACTCAACCCAATTTTCTCTCACAATCCTCCAAATGCCCCTACCCTGCAAGATGGTAAACCACTAGGTAGAGAACGGACCGGCAGATAGGTTCAGGTGCCTATGCTTTCAGGTAGCAGCTGACATCTCCTGGGACGTTTGTGTTTAGTGCTCTAAAACTGTATTTTTTTTGGTTGGTAAAATAATTCCTTTATGTGGCTGGCTGCTGCACGTTCCTTCATCAACATGCTAACTGAAAGTTTTCAGTTAAATGAAATCAACTTTATCTCCAAAGTGCCTACATATATCCTTTAATGCCAATTACTCTTTCATTTTCTCCTCTCCACCACCACCCCTATTTGTTGGGACCTCTTTTACCCTTGCAGTGTCAACAATGACTAACAAACCTGACCACAGGCCAGTGTCAGCCTCACTTGAACTCATTCTTCCCTTCATTCCCTCTCCAGAGCACCACTGTAGGATTGCTCACATCTTCTCAAAGGTCCTTTCTCTTGTTTACTTGAGCTGTGCCAAACAAGTTGGACAAGCAATTAAGCTTTTTCCTACATCATCTGGCAGCTCTGTTCAATACTCCAAGATACACAGAAAGAATGAGCATATGTCTATGGTCATCTGTTTAGCTTCATCAGTTAGCGATGCCATAGGCCAGAAGAATCAAAATGCCCCAAGCCTTTCTGTGGAGCTGCATGATCCTGCAGACCCCACAACCCTGTACATTTTGATAACTTCTATGTTTACAGCCAGGAGATATAGGGTATAATCTTGGAGTAATACAACTTATGCAGTATCTAACTTCATACATCCTCACCTGTGCTATGCACGTTCTTGCAATACGTGGGTCACTGCTTTACATGGTAGCTAGGCACACATGGTTTTTCATTTCCACTTAACAGTGACATTATCTGGCTGTTCTCAGTGCTGTTGTGTCTAAACTCTTAAGTCCAAAAGAATTGTTCTCTGATTACTCTATACTTTCATGATTACAGAAATTACTCTCTATTGCTAGTTTCATCTGACTTAACTGAGTAAGCCTGCAGGTTCACTGTTCAGCAAAAGAACTGACAGAACAATGTGTTTCTACTTAAAAACAAAGTAAATGAATCCTTATGAAGTCATCTTTATAAATCATCAAAGAAAACGGGAGTATATGTAAAAGTTTTAAAAGTTTTTTGCCTCGGAGCAAAAAATAACACTCTATGGAGTTGCCAGTATTTGGAAAGAGTTAAAAGTAGCATCAACATTTTTTCCCAAATACAAATCAATGGACTGCATCCATTCATCTAGTCATAAATAGCAACAAATCTGTCACAGAAACCTGGTACTCAAAATAAACACAATCAATTGTGGGTGCTATCGTACCTTGACAAAATGTAGCATTGATCCTCTTGTAGCCTTGTGGGCATTCCATCATAGGACTGTATCCATGGTAAGCTGAAGAAAAAAATTATGTCAGTTAAATACTGCTGATTTATGTGCTTAAATAAGAGAGCCTGACAGCCAAATTATTATGTAACTATAAAAAAATATCATTGTAAGATTTTATGATGTATGGTTAAGCATAAAAGGTCAAGAAATTAGAATTAGAAGTTGTATAGGTAATCTAAATTCCATCTTTTTCCACATGTATTCCACTTAAGATTTCAGGTATCCAGTCAAATTTATATTTTTTCCAAAACAGAAATCTTTGAAATCAGGACATTATCTTTCATCCTAGTTGTTCTCAAATACTCAGATAGTTACTTTCCCAAACCAGCTACAAATGTCATGTTGGGAAAAGATAAAGTTGAAGATTCATGATGGAAACTCAATGGCTTTAAAACTGAAAGCAGCTTTGGAAAGCAGAAGTATCTTCAGTGTTAAGAAAAATTGTTGGGTACCATTTCTCCTGCCACAATGAATTAAAAAATATTTGAAATACATAGGAAACAGAAGCAAACGAACTTTTAAAACAAGGCAAAAAGAAGAAAAAAGCTTATTTGTGGTTTACTTAAAGTTGCTGAATTTTAGAAACCGTGCAACTTATTGGCTGATCAGTGTAAACTGTCAAGGGCATAACAACACTGCAAAATACAGACTGAATTAAATTTTGCCAAAATAGAAAGTGTTCAGTTAACTAGATTTTTATTTCTATTTATTGCCTCTTTCCTCCACTTAAGGTTGCCTTTGAGACTACAGAAAACTGTTTATTGATTCTTAAACTGTTATAACACCATAAATGAGAGCAGTAACTTCTTTGTACGGTTATGCACTAAAAGCTAACCTCTTGGCAAAGCCCCGTACTTTATTAAACATACAGGACTAAACTTTTGGCACTATGATAATATAAGTGCCTTTAATAAGAGTCAAGAGAGTTTTTTCATAATTTGAATGCTACAACAGAGATACCTTACATTTGGTCAGATCTTTTGTTTTCCTTTAAAAGTGTTCTAAATGTTCA